AATGTAACACAACCACACAAACCTTAGCAATATCTGAAACGAATGATCCATGTTGGGCGATTAATTTGTCGAAAGCCCGTCTGCTTATTGCCCTCTGAATCATCATCTCCATGCCCCGCTCAGCAGCTCCAATCAGCCTCATGCAATGGTGCAATCTTCCAGGCCCCAGCCTACCCTGATAATAAATGTACAAAATAAGGAAAAAGGCAACATTTTTTTGTTAAACCCACCTCTCACAACGCTTGTAACTTGAGAAAAGTCGAACAAAGAGTCACCAAAGTTCTAAGAAGTGCTTGCAAAATCTTCTTCTCTTAAAGCGATTTATTCTATAGTAGCATGGAAAGAATATACTGAGCATAGTTTGAATGGTTAATGTCTACAAATGTAAAACTACAAGTTCACTTTAGATAAGATTATGCCGACTTGACAATAGAAAACAATAAATTTCACTATTATTATCATACTATAATTTACTATATTATATTATTTATTATTATTATTATTATTATTATTATTATTATTATTGTTTTTGTTATTCACCTGTGCAATTTCAAATCCACGACCCTCCCCTAGGAGGATATTCTTGGATGGCACGCGTACATTTTCGAAAGTTATTTCTGCATGCCCATGAGGGGCATCGTCAAATCCAAACACGGTCAATGGCCTTTTTATATTCACACCCGGTGTGTTGATGTCAACCAAAATCATCGATTGTTGTCTGTGTTTGGGGGCTTTGAAGTCAGTTTTTCCCTGCAAAATTCGCAAATTAGAATATTGGCTTAAAAAAAAATGATGGCACCAAGTTAAGCAAAACTAACCATGACAATAAGGATTTTGCACCTAGGATCCATGGCTCCACTTGTCCACCACTTCCTCCCATTGATAATATACCAATCTTCATGTCTGTTGTGAGCATCAAATATGTTTCGATTTTCGAAACAATACAATTACATTCACTAGGAGTACTTGAACAAACAAACATAACTTATTCTATCATATTCTTTTCGAGAAATTTTCATCTCCAGAAAGCAAGAATTTGATCTTCTCAATGTTTTGAAAAAATTGTAAATTTGTACCTTGTGATAGAACACTCTATATTAGTAGCATCAGACGAGGCAACTTGGGGCTCAGTCATTGCAAAGCCAGAGCGTATATTTCCTTCAAGAAGGGGAACAAGCCATTCACGTATTTGTTCCGCATTTCCATAGCGCATTAGCACCTAAGAAAGATGATGCAAGCAGAAGAAAAGAATCAAGGACCAAAAGGAAAAATAAATATAATCAAAATATTTATTTCTATTTTGTTCGTTTCGTATGGTAGAAGAATGCGTACTACAAGCCTTGTATTGATTTCTCAATTATAAGGAAATCAAGATTAAGGTTCAGCAGCAACTTAATTGACGTTACACGTGCAAAGTGAAGTGTATAAAAGCTAGGAGAGATGCTAATCACAAATACAACAACAAAAACAAAGGGAAAAAAAAAAAGAATTAGTTACACATCAATATAACAAATACTTCTTGAAATGTGTGTATATTTCACGAATTAAAAAAAAAAAGTAAAAAGAGCCGCAAGAATATTGTTTTTCCCTAACCTCCATGTTTCCAGTATCCGGTGCTCCACAATTGAACACCTGTGGGGCCCACACGGAACGGCCCATGACCTCACAAAGGTATCCATATTCAAGGTTCGAAAGACCAGCGCCCAGTAAGCCATTGATCGCCTCTTCAACATGATCGTCTCTTCTTTCACCGGAAATGACTTGCTTAACCCTGGCGGCACTATCAAACTGCAAACAAGAACCGGGACATTTCAAAAAATTCAAAAGCATGCAGTTTACATTAAATTGCAAAACATGTCCTTTAGTCTAC